GAAATACCATTATGGTAAATAAAACATCTATATCTATCTATCTATCTATCTATCTATCTAAAGATTAATTCTGTCTTGCAAGTTCACTTTTCATTGGATGGAACAGGATCAGATTTTATGTGTTCAAAATGTGAAAACATTTTAAATGATTCTCATCAGTCCAAGTTCAAAATAAATGATAAATTGAAGTGTTATGAGAAGTTTAGTAATAAAAAAGTTGACAATGTCCGCATTGAACTATCAGTTCCAATACACTACAATTTCATTAAAGTTGAAGATGAATTGAATATATCAACGGAGATGGAGTTGGTTTCACCAATGAATGAAGTCAAAGAAGAAAGTTCTGAAGATGAAAGTCTAAAGGATCATGATGAAGTTAAGAATGAAGAGGAAAATGAACTTGAAAATCAGGATCAGTCAAATCCTCAATTCATTTTATGCGATGCTGGTGGAAAAGTTTTTAAAAATGATCACTCGGTCAAGCGACATCAGTGCGACATTTGTGGATTAACAGCGACATGTAAATTCAACATTTCTTCTCACATGAACACGCATAAAGAATTTAGGACAAAGGATTTTCAGTGTCAAATTTGTGGGAACTCTTACTTTAATAAAAATGTGCTTCGATATCATATTTTGAAAAATCATGAAAAACCAAAGCACCTTACCTGTTCATTATGTAGCAGAACATTTAGAACTGAAGAAGGTTTAAAAAATCATAAGTCACGTCCTCATCGTTTACCTTGTGAGGTCTGTGGAAAAATGATTTTAAACAATGAACTCAAGCGACATTTAAAAATAGTACACTTCAAAATAAAACCATATCAGTGCGATAATTGTGGTAAGAAATTCAGCAGAAAACAACCTCTGATTAAACACCTGAATACGCACAAAGTTTATAGAACAAAAGATTTTCATTGTCAAATTTGTGGAAATTCCTATTTTAGAAAAAATGGACTTGAAAGACATATATTAATTAAACATGAAAGACTAAAGCATCTTACTTGTTCAATATGTGAAAGTTCCTTCTATCTTAAAAAATCACTAAGATTTCATATATTAAAAAATCACGAAAGATCAGAACTTATTACTTGTTCATTATGTGGAAAGACTTTTAAGTCCGAAGAAGGCTTAAGAAATCATAAGTTAAATCTTCATCGTTTACCTTGCAACGTATGTGGAAAAATGATTTCAAAGGAAAATCTTAAGCGACATTTAAATACCATACATTTGAATATTAAACCATATCAGTGCGATATTTGTGGAAAGAAATTCAGTAGCAAGTCAGAGATTGCTCATCACATGATTAAGCATATTGGTTTGGAACATAGAACAAGAGATTATCAATGCGATCTCTGTGAAGCTTCTTTCTTCGATAAAAGTGGACTTCAAACACATACATTATACGTTCATGAAAGACAACAACATCATTACTGTTCATTATGTAACAGAACTTTTAGAACCGAGCAAGGCTTTAAAAATCATAAGTTACGTCCACACCGTTCACCTTGTGAAATTTGTGGGAAATCGTTTAGAAATGATTTACTCAAGCATCATCTAAATATGGTTCATTTCAATATTAAACCATATCAGTGCGATATTTGTGGAAAGAAATTCTGTAAAGATTATCTTCCACGCCACATGGACACACATATTGGTTTGGAACACAGAACAAAAGATTTTCATTGTCAGATTTGTGGAAACTCTTACTTTGATAAACATGGAATTGAAAGACATATATTAACTATTCATGAAAAACCAAAGCATCTTACGTGTTTACTATGTGGGAAAACTTCTAGGAACAAAGAAGACCTTAAAAATCATAAATTACGTCCCTGTCGTTTACCTTGTAAAATCTGTGGAAAATTTATTCCAACCAAAAGTCTTAAGAAACATTTAAATAAGGTGCATTACAATAATAAACCTTATCAGTGCGATATTTGTGGAAAAAAATTCTGTAAAATATCACTTGCTGGTCACATGATTACACATATTGATTTAGAACACAGGACAAAAGATTTTCATTGCTATATTTGTGAAAATTCTTTTTTTAATAAAAAAAATCTTCAAACCCATATTTTAAATGTTCATGAAAAACCGAAGCATCTTACCTGTTCATTATGCGGAAGATTTTTCAACACCAAAGAAAGTTTAAAAAATCATAAGTTAATTCCTCATCGTTTGCCATGTGATATTTGTGGAAAACGTTTCGTTTCTAAACGCTCACTACTGCTTCATCAAAATATGCATGAAGAGAGAAAATTTGTTTGTGATTTTCCTGGATGTCAAAAGAAGCTCAAAACAAAATGTAATCTTAAAAAACACATTTTAATCGTTCATAAAAAATCCATGAGCCATGTCCTGTTGAAAATGGATGCAAATACTCAGGAGGAAGAAAAGATTCCATGAAAAGACATTTAAAGGTACACAAAGAACTTTCTCATGGAGAACTACAAAATTATTGGAACAAGCTTCGATCAATGAATTTTTACGATAGGTACTAATTCAGATGAAATTTATTCTCAAAGGTTAAGGACTTGTGAGTTGATATTAAGCAACCTTGCATACTCTATCTATAATTATTGACAAAGCAGTTTAAAATTTAATGAGTTTTTGAAATCATCAAACAGTTCACCAATCTTTAAAACTTCATCAAACCGATTAGTATAAGTAGAATTAGTTTGTATTTTCATGATCATCATCATGCTATTTTTTTGCATTGGATATTTCAGTTAAATGCCTCTTCTCATATAGCTTCCCTGTTCTTTACTCTTTTTTTATTTGAATGACATTCTAATCAACCTGTGAATCACATGAAATTTTATACTGTTATAAACATCATATACCTAACTGTTTAAATAAAAGTTTTGAACAAAATTTGTTTACTTGTTATTCTGATCCTAAACATAATTGAGATATCCTCATATAAAATATCTTTTTTAATACTTATTCGCTCATTTCAGACTGAAAATAAACACCAAAATAGTCAATATATCTCAACTTTTATCATAAGAGTTTACCTAATTGAAATATAACGCAAATCTCAAGTAAAAGTGGTTATTGAAAAGGTAAACATAAAATCAATTTCATAATAAAGTAAAAGCACGCTTACAAAACATGAAGTGTTTAATTGTTGAACCTTGAAGTGTGATCATGATCGAGCTTTGTCGACTTCAAGTGCAATTTTCTTGATAACACAAGAGTGACACAAAATCTTTCTTCACCAGAAATGTTGCAAAAAGTTATTCATTTTTTAGGTAAGTTATAGTTTAATATATTGAGACATAATCGAAAATTAAAGTAGGGTTTTGATTTATCTTCTACATAGATTATTTCCCGCGGATTATTTGAAATATCGAAAGTTAATAATAATTATGCTAGAGGTCGGGCGTGTTTTATTACATGTTAAATATCTTCAGATTCGAAATTCGCTACTTACTTTCGAAAAGTTTCAATTCCATAAATATTTCTTAGTAAAAGGCATTCATCATTATCAGCTCTCTCGAGAATCTCTCTTCAAGAAAAGTTTCTGGATACATTTGCCTACATATTAATAACTGCAGTTAAAAAAGTCATCACAGCAATACGGTTGGTTTTTCTAAATAAATAATTGTAAATTTTGAAGACAAACTTTATTTAATTTCAGTGTTAATCAAGTTACTTTATTGGAACTTAGTGAAATAGTTTATATTCTCGCCACAAACTATAAAAGACAAGGAGGACATTAAAGTTAAGAATACAAACTCAAATCCGTTCAAAACGAGTTTTTAGTATTCCTGTAAAATATTTGAAACTTCAAAAGGCCTC